CACAACTCTTTGCCAGCTTAACACTCATCCTCCTCTTAAAACCATGTTGTCGGGGATCCCTGGGTGGCGCAGCGATTTAGCGCCTGCCTTTGGCCCAGGGCGCGATCCTGGAAACCCGGGATCGAATCCCACGTCGGGCTCCTGGTGCATGGAGCCTGCTTCTCCCTCTGCCTATGTCTCTGCCTCTCTCTCTCTCTCTCTCTCTCTCTCTCTCTCTCTCTCTCTCTGTGTGTGTGTGACTATCATAAATAAATAAAAAATTTTAAAAAAATAAAAAAAATAAAACCATGTTGTCTGTCACTCAATCTAAAAACAAAGCCGAGGGGCATCCAGGGGGCTCATTCGGTGAGCACCCCACTCTTGTTTCCAGCTCAGGTCATGATCCCAGGGTCCTGACGTCAGCCCCGTGTTGGGATCCACACTCAGCCAGGAGTCCGCTTCAGGTTCTCTCCTTTTCCCTCTGCCCCTCCCTGCCCTTTGTACTCTTTCTCTAAAATACATAAACATACAAAATCCTTAAAAATAAATAAAAATAAAAAACGAAAATTAAGCCTAGACCTCAAACCAGATCACATGCATCTGTGCTTTTTTTTTTTTTTCTATCGTGAACAAACAGCCTGGCCTTCAACGTGGCTCCTTTGGTGCCCGTTGGAGCACAGACGCAGGAAGCTGCTCAGAGGCTGAAAAATGGATTCACAAGGCTCACATCCCCATGGTCTACAAATCGGTATTTCAGAATTCTTGGCTCCCAGATGCCAACTCCTGCTTCTTCTCTAACCTTATTACACAGTGCAGGGTTTCTTTTCCTGCAATAACAACTCAATGGATCTCCATTGTTCACTTCAAAAATCAGAATGAGTCTGGCTGAGTTGAGGAATATCCCTGCATCTCCAACACTAAGATTGCCTCCTTAAACGTTTGCCAAAAGAACTATAAAGTTCTACAGCACACCAGACAGAATCAGAGTCATAATACGCTCTGAAACAAATTCCTGACATGCAAAAAAATTTAAGTTCTTTGTGCATACAGTAAAATACACAAGATTATGAAACTATTATGGGCATAAGAAACAGGCCAAGATTTGATAACCACATAGGACTAAAAACAAACCAATGGAAACTAAAATTGTGCTGGCAAAACAGTAAACTGAATAATACAGAAAACTGAAGTAGAAAATAAAATAAAAACTGCAGTAGAAAATATAAGGGTGCCTGGGTGGTTCAGTTGGTTAGGTGGACGGCTCTTGATTTTGGCTCAGGTCACAATCTCAGGGTCTTGGGATCAAGCCCACTATCACCACTTTTATTCAACATAGTACTGGAAGTCCTTGCCATAGCAATCAGACAAGAAAAAGAAATAAAAGGCATCCAAATCAGTAAGAAGTAGAAACTTCCATGATTTCCAGGTAATAAGATACTATATATAGAATTCCCTAAAGAACCCCAAAAATCTCCAAGAATTGATAAATGAATGCTCTCTACTATTTTTAGTAAGGATTCTCTTTAGTGACCTAGAAGCAAAGACCTCTGACCCTTAAAAATGAATTCCCCCCCCCAAAAAAAATGAATTCTTACGTCAAAATGATTTATAATCAAAGGAACAACAACAACAAAATAATCACCTGAACAAGGTGGAGGGTGGATCAAAGCTGAGAATAATTTCCATCACATTTTCCCCCCATAATTATCACTCCATTTATGTGATCTAATTCTCCATGAGATAGATTTTATAATTTATATTTTTAAAGACCATCTTAATGAGATTTTTTCATTAGCATGCAATTATTATTTTATAATTTAAAGGTATCTCAGTATGTTATAGGCCCTTTAAAATTACTAGTTTTATTTGGGTTTTAGTTTAATTATACACTTGCCAGAGTCAATCTGTTTTTCTAAAATAAAAAATCGTAACAAATAGAATTGTTAGTATGTAAAAGTAACAAAATAAAGAAATCCAATATATTGCAGTCAAGGGGCACCTGGCTGGTTTGGTCAGCAGAGCCTGTGACTCTTGATCTCAGGACCAGGAGTTCAAGCCCCATGTTGTGTACAGAGATTACTTAAGAATAGAAAATCTTTAATTATATATATACATATTGCAGTAAAATAAAAAAACACCTTATCTAAATAAATGCCTTAATAATGAATGCTTTAACGTCAATAAAATTCAACACAAATATCAATAAAACTCTGAAAAAACATACTAAAATATCAAAAGTGCTCATACTGGTGACAGGATTAAACATGAGGTTCTAATTTTTCTTGATATTTCCAATTGTTATAACATATGTAAAATGTAAATATGAATTTTAAAAATTAAAGATTTGTAAACCAGATTTTATAAACTAGAAGCTAGAAGTAACTATTTATCAAACTTCTCAACACAAAAAAGCAGAGAGGAGGCCTGCCCCAAAATAGAGCAATAAGTATTAGTATAGTTCTTATGTGTGCTGTTTATATGTTACTAATTTGGTGGAAATTGGTTTTAAGTCTTGTTTTCATTAAAGTATATCCCTTCTGGCCTCTTACTGCATGTGCCCAAGTGCTCAAATTGGCTGACATCAGTTTGTAATACTGACATAAAAGTTTAAGTGAGGGGGAAAAAATCAGTTATAATCAGATTTGTATATATATATAATTTTTACATATTTTTATATTTTTAATATTTATATATAGATTTAATATATATACAGACACATACGTATGCATGTTTTAAGAGTCATGTTAGGGATCCCTGGGTGGCGCAGTGGTTTGGCGCCTGCCTTTGGCCCAGGGCGCGATCCTGGAGACCCGGGATCGAATCCCACATCGGGCTCCCGGTGCATGGAGCCTGCTTCTCCCTCTGCCTGTGTCTCTGCCTCTCTCTCTCTGCGACTATCATAAATAAAAATAAAAATTAAAAAAAAAAGAGTCATGTTAAACATAAACAATCTATTTCATCTAATCTAAGGTAATCACTTATAGCAGTTATAATTTCTATTTTATATTCCACCGAAAAATTACTAATTATGGCAGGATTGAATTTTATTTTATACTAATTGCAAGAACTTCTAAATTTAGATAGATTTTATGTATCAGGCCACTGTTTCAATGTCTTCCATGTTACCGTGTATACAGAGTAACTTAGCTTTTTAATGCCAAGTCTAGTGGAATCATTCTGAAAGCATCTAATTCACGTATCACCAGCAAGGCACACAGGTAGTCCTAAGTGACAACCACAGGACCACTGTGACCAAGGACACGCAGGCATAGATAGTAACTACAACACGACACATAAGAGCATCTCAATTTCAGAGCTGGTAAAACGAGGGGGCGAAAAGTCTGCACCTTAGAATGACAAAGACTTTAACACAGTATCTATAGGGGGTGAGATTATGAGTAATGGTTTCTTAACACCTTCCATATATTTCATCTTATTCCAGTTAGTATATACGGTCTGATAATTAGAAAAAAGTTATTTTTGCTTTTGTTTGTCCTTTAAGCCCCTCCTCTCCGTAGGCTTTGTGTACTGACTCTTCCCTAATCTGATCGTAATCTCATAGGTAGGAATCAAAATAGCTACACTAGTATGTTCATCAACTACAAGATTCTAGATCTTTTTTTTTTTTTTTATGATAGACATAGAGAGAGAGGCAGAGACACAGGAGGAGGGAGAAGCAGGCTCCATGCCGGGAGCCCAACGTGGGATTCAATCCTGGGACTCCAGGACCGCGCCCTGGGCTGAAGGCAGGCGCCAAACCACCGAGCCACCCAGGGATCCCCAAGATTCTATATCTTGATTAGGTTTGTGGGATTTGTCTTGAGGCAGGAGAGCAGGGCAGAGAAAGTAAAGCTTAAGAGGAGGAGGATACCAAAAAAAAAAAAAAAAAAGAAAGAAAGAAAAAAGAAAGCCAGAGAACCAGGAGCTATTTACAGTTGAGCCTTGGACCAGTCTTCGTCTGTAATTACGGATGAACTGAGCCCAAATGTCTATACTTTATGACCTGCAAATCGCAACCTAGAGTACTACGGACCGCTGGACAACCTAGGAGGCACCTCTCTCATTATTCTGACATCCGTTCATTCTATCATGTACTTTTCTGCAGAGAATAGAATGGAGTTTGTATAAGGGAAGAGGACAGGTAGGGGAAGGAGGAGGGAAGGTGGGCTACCTGGGTAGTGAGTGAGATGTGGTACGGGGAAATGAATAAATAGATTTTAATCAAAGATTCTGATTTTCTTCTAGTTCCTCCATTACATTAAGGATTAACTTAAATGGAATTCATACTCTTAGCCTAGATGCAGTTCTGGGCCTGAACTCCATGAGGGGATTCAAAGGTCACCCAAAACCAAAGTGCCCACGTACCCATCCGTGCCCACCCCCCACCAACTCAGATTTCAAGGAAAGAGGTTTTGACTGAACTAAGGAGGGAGGGTGAAGACATCTGCCATCTTCTACGTGAAGACACCATCCATTCACTTCCCTGTTGTGCCCAGTAATTGTTCTCAATAATGGAATCCTTCCTCCCTCAACGCAGAAGGCACGCCTGACTGGGCATGTCCCTGGGCACCGCTGTCCCCTCAATCTCCACCTAATCTATGGATGCCCCAGTGCCTTGCTCTTCAAATTCCTATTTTATTTTAGTTGCCACAGCTGTCGCTAAACCTTACCCCCCCAAAAAAAGACACACAGAAAAAATATTCCTGAATATTATCAGGAGAGAATATACAATGTTCAAAAGTCATTCACATGAATGAAACGGGTATTGCTCAATCCAAAAGTTATACAGTTTAAACGAAGTTACTCAGGGAAATATTATTAAAACCCAGATTTTAGAACTGAGAATCAATCAGTTTTAAAAGGGTCCACGTGAACACCTGAACAAGACAGTAACGCTCTATGGGGTTTTTTTTGTGAAAAGCCTCAACAACAATAGTGAGCCCAACATTTGTCCCCGCTTCAGTCACACAGGTGTGTACAAAAGGGCACTCAGACCTGCCGTCCAATGCGCAGGCACTTACATAAAGAGGTACTTCGCTGCAGCTCAACTCCATGGCTCCTGCATCTGCAAGAAGATAACAAATGAGAATTGTTATTACAGGAGGCACCATAACCCACTAGCCCGACCGTGTCCTGCCCTGCAGTTGTCACCAACAGGAGGAAGAGCAACAGCTAGCAAAACTGCAGGCCCCAAATTATCAACTATGGGAAAGAGATCCTATCTGCACAAAACACACCCTGCTTTCTTCTTTCACACATAAGGGAACCTTTCAAACCCCAGACATCATCCTACTGACTGCTCTCAAAAGAGAAGTATTTCGAAAAGCCAAGAAAGTCACCATAAACATGGTCAAAGTTTTGCTGTAGTGAACTCCAGAGTAACAGGCTACTCTGAGGTCAGAATCCACCTTGGTCCAAATGAGGCAGGAGACCTCAGGGACAAGGTAGGTCTTTCATCCAGAAGGCCAAAGATTTCAGTCACAGGGTCACAGAGGGCTCACTACTCTCTCCACCAGTTGCAGGCATCCCATCTCCCTCGGGGTACACCTGCTCCGTTAGAGCCCCACTGAGACGCCGGCTTGAAGCTCAAAGAGCTAGCACCACTCCAGAAGGGGCTCACCGAACACCTCCAGTGGGCCAACTGTTACGCAAAGATGATCGCCACGGGGTCCAGCCCTCAAAAACCTCTGCTCAACAAGAAAGACCTAAAGGCAAAGTGAAGAGTAGCTGTGTGAGAATTCTGAATGGGTCCGACAGGGAGACCCCACCAGCATCTGAGCTCTGCCTCTGGTTCCCAGGCTGCACTCCAGCTGCAGCACCCAGGGGACGTCTGCTAGGGCCGCAGGCGTATAGCAGCCCAAACTGTGATATTTAGTACAGTAATATCCAAAGTATGCACTAGGCAAGAAGGAAAACAGGGCACCCAGGTGGCTCAGCAGTGAGCGCCTACCTTCAGCCCAGGGCGTGACCCCAGGGTCCCGGGATCGAGTCCAGCATCGGGCTCCCTGCATGGAGCCTGCTGCTCCCTCTGCCTGTGTCTCTGCCTCTCTCTCTCTCTCTCTCATGAATAAACTTTTTTAAAAAAGGAAAATACTCAGAAGTCCTATTTTTTAATAAAAACCTTTAACTTCAGTTTTTTTTTTGTTTTTTTTTTTAACTTCAGTTTTATTAATACTTCATACACATGCTGCCACGGTGCCCTCCTAGGTCATGAGTTATAGTCCCTAAGTCAAGCCCAGAGAAGATGGAAGGTCTGACAAGCTCATTTTCAACACACTGTGCCCTTTGGCAGTTGATGTAGACCGACTTAAGTGACTTTTTATATTATAATCAATTCTTAATAAAAACTAACCTCATAGGGATCCCTGGGTGGCTCAGCGGTTTGGCGCCTGCCTTTGGCCCAGGGTGCGATCCTGGGGTCCCGAGATCGGGTCCCGCATCGGGCTCCCGGCATGGAGCCTGCTTCTCCCTCTGCCTGTGTCTCTGCCTCTCTCTCTCTCTATCATAAATAAATAAATAAATAAATAAATAAATAAATAAATAACCTCATAAACTGCATGAATGGCTTAAGGATTCTAGGAAGCAAACTTCAAATTAAACCTAATACTAATAAGAACGTGACAAATGAGACTCATTCCTAAATATGAATTTTTCATCAACCCCGCTACAAAATAAAAATGACTAAGATTAACAAATCGATAGCCCTCCCAAAAAATCAGCTATCAACTAGGTATTTAAAATATGAAAGTGTACCCAATAGCATATAATACCATGACCCCGTACCCTAAATTTACACCATACTTCAAGGTATCAGCAATTTTTTTATCTATGTTTACAATCCTGCCATGCAAAATTTCAAGGGTTTAAAAAATTTTCACTAAACTTGATAAAATTAGATCTTTTTCAAATTTCTACTTATCAGCAAAGGAAGTGTATCCTACAGTAAATGGTTTTATTTCTATTTATTTTTTTAAGATTTATTTATTCATGACAGAGAGAGCGAGAGAGAGAGGCAGAGACACAGGCAGAGTGAGAAGCAGTCTCCATGCCGGAAGCCCGATACGGGACTTGATCCCAGGACTCCAGGATCATGCCCTGGGCCAAAGGCAGGCACCAAACTGCTGAGCCACCACCCAGGGATCCCCCAGTAAATGTGGTTTTAAAATTTTTATTTATTTACGATAGTCATACAGAGAGAGAGAGAGGCAGAGACACAGGCAGAGGGAGAAGCAGGCTCCATGCACCGGGAGCCCGACGTGGGATTCGATCCCGGGTCTCCAGGATCGCGCCCGGGGCCAAAGGCAAGCGCCAAACCGCTGCGCCACCCAGGGATCCCTAAATGTGGTTTTAAAAGGAATGAAATAACATAGAAAATAATAAAACTAAAATGCATTCCTTATGAGCAAAACTTTGAACACTACCAAATATTCTAATAAATCCTAGAGCACCACCAAGCTGTGTGACACGTTTGGCACACACTCATAAAAATACAGATGTTTTCCCTTACTCAGCTTTTTACGTTTTATCTGATGATACATCTAAAAGAAACTACTTTTGATGAGAATATGGAGTTAATCTGAAGACTGAATTAACTCCTTTAATAAAAACTAATGTTCTCAGGGCACTTGGGTGGCTCAGGTGGTTAAGCACCTACTCTCAGTTCAGGTCATGACCCCGGGGTCCTGGGATTGAGCCCCACATTGCGGGCTATCCCTGGCCCTCTCTTGTGCACCATTCTCTCATGAAAAGAAAGAGAAAGAGAGAAAGAGAGAAAGAGAGAAAGAGAAGGAAGGAAGGAAGGAAGGAAGGAAGGAAGGAAGGAAGGAAGGAAGGAAAGGAGAGAGAAAGAAAGAAAGAAAAAAAGAAAAAGAAAGAAAGAAGAAAAGAAAGAAAAAAGTAAGAAAGGAAAGGAAGAAGGAAGGAAGGATGAAAGAAAGAAAGAAAGAAAGAAAGAAAGAAAGAAAGAAGAAATGTTTTGTGGGAAAAACATTCAACTACAACCACTGGGAGGGGAGCTGCTTGCATAATAAGCTTAAAAAACACCTTGAGTAACATTCATTCACTATGAACTTGAAAATGAAAGTCCCCAGAACATCAGTCACGGTGGTTAATATTACAGCAATAAGAATTTCAGCTGAATAGAGCCCATTACATCTTCAGATTAAAAAAAAAAAATTCAAACATGGCCCAATCTTTCCAGTTTCTGCCATGAGCTAGGAAAGGATCACAAAAATCCATACACCGCGTGGAGGTGTATCGGTTATACTGCGGCAAAGTACTTTAAGAAGCTGTCGAGCTTAAACACGTACTACGTGGTTTTCTCTTTCCAAAATAGCAGGTTCCGGCTTTTCTAAGAAAAGTAGCTATTTATGACATGTCCTTAAAAACATTCATTTTTTTCCAAATAAATAGCCTGTTCCCTCAAGAAAGGGGTGACATTTTAGTAAGTGAAAAATATCTCAAAGGAAATTCAGGTTAGGGATAGGATAGGCTATCATAACATTTTGAAAAAGAATTATTAGTACACGTTACCACTGCTTTGTGACTTTGCTGCTATAATTAAAGCTTTACAACCTAATAAAGCCCTCGCATCTGCGGGCTTTAAATTCTGGGAAAATAAAAAAGCTTCCAAATCTACATAAATCTTTCAAAACAAATGTTTCACAGGTTTTCTATTTTAAAAACGTGGCAAGTTCTAAGTTCTAAGAGGACTGACTGGGATCAGGGAAGAGGAGAGTTTGCAGTTGCTTTTAAACATTAGTGAACCCGTGTAATTAGTGGGTGGAATTAAAACACAAATCCCGGGGATCCCTGGGTGGCTAAGCAGTTTAGCTCCTGCCTTCAGCCTGGGGCGTGACCCCAGGGTCCCGGGATCGAGTCCTGCGTCGACTGCTTCTCCCTCTGCCTGGGTCTCTGCCTCTCTCTTTTTCTCTGTCTCTCGTGAATAAATAAATAAATAAAATCTTAAAAAAATAAAATAAAACACAGATCCCCTAATTTTTAAGCACAGCTAGCGCTGTGCGTCTATTAGAATGTATGTCTCCGGAGGAGGTTATCCTAACTGGCTGTGACACCCGCGGAATCCAACCGCAAAGTAAGAGCGCTTTGAACCAGACCTTCAGACCGAGGGTCTGTTACTAAACCAACAAAACGATGATCCATGTGTCTTACGACTTTCGCTGACATGTATTATGTATTAATGCTTTTAGTGACACCAAAAAGGGTTATTAATGGCATTTAATCTTCATAGCTTTTTAATTTGGGGGTAGGTTTTAGAAAATATACTGCTGTGGGGCGCCTGTGGGACTCAGGGGCTGAGCGTCTGCCCTGGGCCTAGGCCGTGACCCTGGGGTCTCGGGATCGAGACCCGCATCGGGCTCCCTGCTTCTCCCTCTGCCTGGGTCTCTGCCTCTCTGGGTCTCTCATGAATAAAAATCTTTTAAAAAAAGAAAATGTACTGTCGCCATAGTACACTTTATAAATAAATATGTTACGGACACACATGGGTTTTTTGCTTGTCTGTTTTACTTATGGTACCACATGCTGCAGATCTACTCCTACCCAGGAAGGCCTGCTCCGCACATAGGCTGTGGGTTCTTCCCCCGTGGTCCCCAGGCAGCCTGCATAGACCTGGGAAGGTCGAGGCGCCGGGGCTGGAGTCGAGGGCCAGCCAGTGCCGAGGGCCTGAAGCGGGGGCGCATCGCACGGGCCACGGGGGTCCGGTCCCCGGCCCGCTCAGCCACCGCAATGCCAAGGACACGGGTGTGCGCGTCCGACCTGCACTCTCCTCCGTCCTTGGCCAGCAGGGGCCCGACGCCATCCTCCCGAGCACCGAGCACCTCCAAGAACTGGTCTGGCATCCCCGCCGCCTCTGCCCTTTGCCGCTGCTCAGTACAGAAACTTAACGACCATTTGGAACACCAACTGTTTTGTTTTTTCAAAGAAACTACTTTTTACTCAAAAAAAAAATGAAAAACAAAAAACTAGAGTCCCCACAATTCCCAGCCGTGGACCCAAACCTTCTGCGAACCCCTATGAGAATTTCCTAGTTGAGTCGGAGAAAGA